AAGCAATCCTATGCAAACACCTTCAATTTGTATGAAGCTGAGGTTGGTCAACCCAAGGACGCTCAAACTAGTACATGTGTTATATGTAATTTGTTTTGGTGACCAAAAATATACCAGTTATGTCTCCCCTTCCCAGCATTTTGACCTTTGACCTCAATATCAATGTCAGTGTCTTTTCGGCAGTGCTTTATACATCTCCCTCAGTGATAAAGACATCTTTTATGGTTTAGGAGTTATGGCCCAAACACAATATTCCTGACCTTTGACCACAAGGTCAAGGTCACAGTATTGACCTTTCAGTAGTGGACTGCATATCTCCTTCAGGTGATGCAACTACGAACCAAGTTTTATGAAGATATCTTGTACAGTTTAGGAGTTACGGCCTAAGCAAAATATACAAGTGTGTTCAAACATTGAGATTTTTTGAAAATATTCATAAAATTATTCAAATAATGAAAAGATAAATACTGTGAATTTTTGTTGATCCTGCAAGAATTTGTTACCTCTACAGTTAACCAATAAGTTCACCTGACATAATAATAACACCATAAAATGCATATACTCTTCTCCACTTGAGTTAAAAACAGAAATTTCCTGTTTCTAGACAACGAAATCTACAGCAACAGTCACTCTGAGTTTGCTCCATATACCAGTCTACAGTAACCCATTGAGATATTGATTAAATTTATTACTTACTAAATAAGAACAAAAACATGAATTAATATCACCTGATTTATCTGGTATAAAATACATGTAATAAAAATAACATCAAATGTGTTTACAAACAGAAACCATATGGTAATTTTGGCTTTTTAATTGCTCACCAGCAATGCAGTGTAAAAAGCAAAAGCTGAAACAGTATATATATCCTTCAATTTTGGTCCCTCTCTCTGCCATTGGTTTGAAATTTTATACAAACATTCAAAAAGTTGCATAATAAACAATGGCCATCTCTAATTTCTTCAATTTAGGGCGTGGTTGTTGTCAAGGTGACCCACTCACCATATATTTTTAGGGGCAGAACTTTTATCAATAGCGATTAAAGCTAACAAGGATGTAAAAGGTATTATTATTAATAACAGGGATCTATGTTTGAGTTAGTATGCTGATGATGCTTATTTACTAATGGATGGTTCTGAAATATCTCTCAGATCAGTTGTTAATTTGTTAAAACAATTTGCTATCATTTCAGGGTTAAAAATAAATTTACAGAAATCAAGTTTATATTGGATTGGAAGGGAACGTATATGTCTGGAGCTGAATTTAAATTGGTCCTCATCTGGGTTTAAATTACTGGGTATAAAATTCTCTTTAAATCTGGAAGAGATGGTTGAAATACATTTTCGCAACAAAATAATTCAAATAGAAAAAATTAGGTTTTGGAACAACAGAGATATTTCATTGTTTGGTAGAATCACAGTTGTATAAACATTAGTAGTTTCTAAGTTTGTTCATTTATTCACATCATTGCCAAATCGACCAAAACAGTTTCTAGACAATTTCAGTATAAGATATGTCACAGGATCCTACCAACCAATGATTTATTGTACAAAATGCAGATTGTTCCCAATAACAAATGTAATTTCTGTCAAGGAGACACTGAAACAGTGGAACACATCTTTTCTAAATGTTTTTATTCAGTGCAAATTTTTGAGGAGCTTTACCACTGGAATTCACACCATGATCCAATTGACCAATATTATTTTAGAGAAATTGACATCTTGTTTGGTAATCAACGGTTCAGTAAGCTTATAAATCACTTTCTTCTCATCACATCACATATACTACAGTCAAGTTAATAATCTAATACCAAACTTTTTTGCATGTAAATCTATTTTCAATAAAGTAATGACTGTTGAAAAATGTATTGCCTCAAAGAACAACACTATGAGGGATTTTGAGCAAAAATGGGGAATTTTTCAATGTCTTCTTTGAGATAATTTATTTTCATTTTCATCTACTGATATCAAAGTTCTTCAGTTTTTTTGTTTTTGAGGTGACAGCATTTAGGCAATAAAATGGATTTATGTCCCTCAAAAGCTTCCATTAATGAAAAGAAATAGAAACCCCAACCTTCCCCCATCAGTCCAAAGGTCCTTGTTTGTTATTGCAAGATATTTAGTGTGTGTTATGTGTGAAAGGTGTGTGAAAATTTTGATCAACTTGTATAAAACAAAACTATACAATGAACTGTTTGAAAGTGGTGTGAAGAAGTTGTGAAAAGAGATATTTGAAAAAAAACTATGGTAAAATTGACTATGTAAATATTTATATTTTTGTACATATTAATGGTGTATAGTGTGTGGTGTGCAAGAACCCTTCTGTGGAGAGGGCATTATTTGTAAGGGACTGATCCCAGGACCCCAACCCTGGCAGTCTCAATTATTGCTGGAATAATAATATTAAAAACGTCAAAACAATAGTGTACCGGGAAATGTCTTCAGCATTTTTCAAAATAAAGATAACATTAAGAAAAACAATTGGCTCACGTTTGCCTTTTCTTGATTGAAATGGTACATTGTATCGAGAAGAACTAGTTTGATAAATAGAGATGTCAATATGATAATGTATAGTTGTTATGCCGATTCATTCTTTTATCGTTTGTTTCCTGGAATTATCACCCCCATGAACAGGCGGCAGGATGATCTTGTAGAAAGACTACTTCACTGAATATCAAAGATTCAAAGAATTGTGGGACCCGTCATTTTTAGCAATAAAGTTTAAATAGGCTCATGAAAAGAAATTTGCAGATTAATAACTGAATCAATGTCTTGCAATATCATTCATTGATTTGATTACTTTTATAGACATCGAGATGTCTGTATTGCCGGTCACGTGATGTTATCATGCGGTTAAAACAATGATAAACACGACATGCAGATCTAAAGATTAAAGAAAAAAACCCTGAAAGAATCTAAATGTACGGCTCCATATATTTTATTTTGAGAATTGTTTAACTACGTCGCCAGAACACTGACGTTACCCCGGAACCACAATTTCTTGTGAAATTTGGAATTATCAGCCATTTGATCTTAGATCTTACAAGAAACTTTACATGTACAGTAATCTGAGTGATGGTCTCGCATGATGTTTCCACAGCCACAAAATTTTAAGAAGTGCTAGAAGATGTGGGTTTATATATACTGAACAAAATAAGTTAAGGATCATAAACTTGAAACAGTGCAGTTTTACATACAAATAATAATATGATTATATTTTAAATTTTAATGACAGAACATTCATTTTAGTCTTTAATTACACAAAACAAATTCATTTGTGGTAATTGCTACCAAGAGCAGATAACCCTAAGTAAAAGCACCCTTGAAATCAAAGTGTAAGAGGAAGTAGAGCAAGTTAATCATGTAGACAAGGAAAACTCATCAAACTGCAATTGGCAGTTTAATAGGCAGTATGACCTCCGTTGACATCAATAACTGCCCTGCAACGTCTGCACATGCTCCTTATTAGTCGTCGGTGGCTGATCTGTGGGATGCGCTGCCATTCCTCTTGCAGAGCAATCATAAGCTGTTGGCGGTTCCGTGGCGGATTGGGTCGAGCTGAAACCCGGCGTTGCAAGGTGTCCCAAGCATGCTCGATAGGGTTCAGATCAGGAGAACGACTTGGCCAGTCCATGCGAACGATTGCTTCACGTTGAAGATAGTCGTTGACCACACGAGCACGGTGAGGACGAGCATTATCATCCATCAGAATAAAATCATGGCCAACAACTCCTGCAATGGGCCTTACTATAGGGTGTAGAATCTCGTCCCTGTATCGAACAGCTGTTAAAGATCCATTGTCTATGATGTAGAGGTTTGTATGGAAGTCAACACTGATCCCTGCCCAAACCATCACTGACCCACCACCAAAGCGATCATGCTGGACAACACAGCAGTCTGCATAGCGCTCTCCTTGGGTTCTCCATACCCTCCTCCTACCGTCATGGAAGTCAACACAAAACCTAGACTCATCTGTGAACATAACATTTCTCCAATGACGTAATTGCCAATTCAAATGATGAGTGGCCCATTGATGTCTGGATTGTCGATGACCTCTGGATAAAATTGGTCGGACTGCTGGTCTTCTAGCTCGTAAATTAGAGGCATGGAGTCTGTTTCTGATTGTCTGGGATGAAATCCTTAGATTTGTAGCACGCTGAAACTGAAGATTCAAGACAGGAGCACTCAAAAACCGCTGACGTCGTGCCGTGATGCAAATGAATCTGTCCTGTCGGGCTGTCGTACAGCGTGGTCGTCCAGATCTGGGGCGTTGACGGACGTTATTTGTCTGTTGATAGCGATTCCATAGCCTACTAATCACGCTCTAAGAAACATGAAGCTGTGCCGCCACATTTCGTTGAGTTTGACCAGCTTGAAGGAGCCCTATAGCTCGCGCGGCTTCCATATCATTTAAATGTCTTCGCATGATTAGTTTTTCAAGTTTTCGTTACAAATTGATTAAATGTTTCCAAATTCAACTTTTTTTAGCTTAGAAGTAACAGAATCAAAACCTGCAAGATTCCTCTGTAGTAATAGACCAGTCAGTTTTTCACACCACCATAGTTAACTAGAGCGGAACGGCAAGACCTTCAGATGCACGTGCTTTCACCTTTGACATGACTTTAGGTACATATTGGAGAAACTACGAGTGCAATTACCGGCAATACATGATTTGAATTTTTAAAGATATTATGGTCACAATTTATGATCCTTAACTTATTTTGTCCAGTATATATTGAATTTTCACCTCCAGACCAATAAAATCAACAGATGATGAAAAAATTAACACATGGTAAATGAAAAGAAAGACTTGAATGAATAAAACTTTTCAGTAGATTCCCAGATTTCTGTTACTGGACATAACCGATTTTGTGGTGAGTTTTTGAGACTTTTACAATGAATCTATCAAGATAAACTTGTTTAAAATAACCCAGATGCAACTTACATATTTTACATGTACAATAAATCTAAAACTGCTGTGAACTGCAAGAACTGCACACTACCTGGTCCCTGGCAAGGACATGGACAGCAAACTGCTGAGTCCTAAGCAAAAGGTCATGCATGCGGCTGAAAACACATCAATAAAATTGTTTATTGGACTAAAAGTTTTCTTATTTCAATCATAGTAGTTCTGGTTTTCACCAATCTGGAAGACAAACTGGTCTTTTTTGTTGTACGAAGTTGATTCAGTTAGCTCATATTGAATTAACCTATTTGCCAAGTAATGAACTATGGAAACTTATAACTTAAGATGGCAGTTGGATACATTTTTCATATTCTTTTCCGTTTCAATTAAATAGTGATTAAAATATTACTTGATCTTAAATTTTGTCATTGAAATGAAGACTACAAGATCATGAAATCTGGATGAGTCATAAACACCTTAATATGTATGAAAACATACAGAAGAGATTAAGTATCATACGGAAGAGATCAAGTATCATACGGAAGAGATCAAGTATCACACGGAGGAGATCAAGTATCACACGGAGGAGATCAAGTATCGCACGGAGGAGATTAAGAATCATATAGAAGAGATAAAGTATTATATAGAAGAGATTCAGTTTTCAAATTCTGATAAAAGAAATTTTACCTTGAATGATTCAAACAGAAGGAGACAACTGCTGGGTCTAAGGAAACGCTGCTGAAGGATGTACAGGTTACTCCTCTTTTCAACCAGCTGTTGTTTAAGATATCATGTCCAGACGTCGTTACAACCACCACTGAAAACAGACATCAAGCAAGTTTTTGATCGTTCATTGTTCTACCTTTTCCATATACCAGGAAACTTTGCCAATTCTGTCCTATATGTTCCGACACCTATTCAGTTCAGACTACTCACATTTTCCCATTTCAAAAAAGGAGAATTTAGTTTTACAGCAATTACAAGGATTTAATCAAAACCTGCCTTGATGTGCAACACATTTCTCAGACTACACTCTCTAATACAAAGTGGCATGCTGTAATGATAAACTGAATTTCACTAGGAAGATACTCACCTGGCTGTGGGACCTTCCTCATAACATTTTTATAGGCATCACCAACATTTGTCGACTTTGCCTCTGAAATGAATACAAAGTATAAATTTTCCATGCTCTGAAGTACTTCTGTGGAGTGAAAAAAAAATGTGTGCAAATTGGAAACCATGACTTCTGGTCAAAATTTCTTACAATAGATGTACATAAACAAGAATTTCATAGAAAAGTGTTGCGTGCCTAGGACAAAAATCTATTTATACTAAAATTGACCTTGACCTATGACCCTTGAACCTGAAAAGCAATAGCAAGCAGGTACTTTTGGTGAGGAATCACTGTAAGGAGTTTGAAGTTGATCGGCCAAAGGTAACTCAAGTTATCGTGAAAAAACCTTAGTGCAGATGCCGACATCACCATACCTATATGTCACCTTTTGCATGCGACACAAAAATATATGATTGCAAATCTCATTTGAAGAGTGCGCTTCATAAATTGTATATCTGCACTCTGATTTTTACAGCAAGTGAGATGGTTATTTGACAACTTTTCTCATAAAGCAGCACAAATATCTGTGCTACTGTGACATTGATAGAGGGCCAACGTCCACCATTTGAACAAACTTGGCGAAGCTTCATTACAACATGCTAGAGTCAAATATCAGAACCCTAAATGTCTGTTTTCTGAGAATTCATTCGACCTGTGTGACCTTGAAAGTGGGTCAAGGTCAATAATTTGAAAAAGAGACTTGGTAGAACTTTATCTAGCTTGCCAAATGCAACATAGAATCCTAGGCCTTCAGGTTTTATAGACGGCACATGATGAAGAACAAAGTAGAAAATATTGACTCTTGGTCATCTCGACCCATTGTTACTATAGAATCATGTCAACTAAACTACATGTCAAGGTTAATATTACATATGCACAATCAGTGGTCCTACTGCTACAATCACTACTTAGTTTTTGCTATTTTGAAACACAAATACACCACAGTGTTTTGAAGTGAAAACCTACCTGAAGTTCAAGTAGTAAGGCACCTGACGAAGAAACCAAGTATCCAATACAACCCTTCTGAGTGCGTTGTGAGCTGCACTTCCCTCTTCTAACCATTCCTGGTCTTGGTCTGCTTCGGCTATTTGTGACTGCATTGACCAAAGTCCGATTTGCCATAAGCCAAAGCCCACTTATGTTCGTAAACACAATGGTGCAGAGTAGCTCCCAATAGTTCCTGAAGAATGTTGCAAGTATTAGGCGTACACTATCAGTTATCAAATCGTGATTTTTTTAGAAAAAGAGGTTCATAAATTTCTTTCTCAATTAAAGATATAGCATTATAACAGTATATTTTGTTTTATTTTCCCCCTTAATGATAGCTTTCCACAAAATGTGTCAGGAAATCTACATCACATAGGTACATTATATAATACATATTGACTCTATCTACTTAAATATATTTGAACTCTCAATAAAATGGCTGACTAATACACCTGCAAAAAAATGGGAGACATAATTTATTAGCACTGAAATTGAATACTTAGATTGTATACTGTATAATTTCTCAGCGTGAGGTAGACAGCGCATTCTTTTTAGGATTGAATTATTTCTACCGATTCTTTGCAATTTTCATGTTACATTTTACATCTATTTTGGTTTGAGCTAGTGTTTTCCATATACACTATGCATGTAGAATTCTTCGTCAGATGGAAACAAGACTCCTAAACCAACACTCTCTCCATCATCAAAATCATCATCATCGTCGTCATCTCCGCTTTTTTCTGCTCCAAATTCTAGGTCTGCCAGTGACACTTTTTCCAGCTGTTCCTGTTTTTAGGTCTGCAACAAAAAGATTATTGAGATTACCAAGTAAGATCTCAGTAGACAGCAATGCCTACCTGTAACTCTTACCCAAATCTATTCTTATATTTGTAATGTTTTATGTCTTATTCAGAGCCAAGGTCTTTAGAAACTTTCATGGTAAAGGAAAGCCAGAGTGCTCAAAAAAATGTTCTGTACATTTCAACTAATCCAGGGTGATTTTTAACTCGGTGCTCAAAAGGTTCGTGTATCAAGATAAGAACTAGAAATATGTTTTGGTGATTATGTCTCCCTTTCCAACAAAAATATATATCATTTGACCTTTGAGCTCAAGGTCAAGGTTATAGTGAACTTTTGGTAAAGCACTGCACATCTTCAGATGAGGCAACTACACATCAAGTTTGATGTGAAGATATTCTTTACAGTTTAGGAATCTTTTGGCAAAAACAATATTCTTTATCTTCGAGGTCAAGGTCACAGTGACATTTTTGTAGTGCACTGCACATTCCCGTCTGGTGATGTAACTGCACATCAAGTTTTATGAAAGATTTCTTTTTACGAAATATACCCTGGACAAATTATTATTTGAAGAACCTACGTACCTATTTTGGTAAAAATGTACCTGACCGACCAGCCGGTTTCCAGCGAGGTTGGCCTCTCCCTGCCGCCGGACCTGCAAATATACAAGTCTGACAAGTGTGAATATATTTGATTAATTGATAATAAAATCGTCTTACCAAAGATGGGGGTAAAACCGTCAATAACCGAACGCCGATATGGACGAGAAATCGATTGCCTGTGATTTGCAGGCCGCGAACTGTTGAAAACAAAGCTCCGCTGCTTGTATCAACGTTAACACTGTTCGCAGGGGAAGAAAACACCATGTACAGAAAAAAGCTCAAATTCGGTGCAAACAAATAATACCTTCTCTCGTGACAATCGAATTATGAACTCAGTAGATCTACCAGCCGAGGCGCACCGTATTCGACTCCTGTTTCACAATCCCTCAAGGCAAGAAAACCCTGCTAAGCCACATACAAAAAACATTCTCACCCCATGAGTGTGTATGGAATAACAAGTTCTGCACTGAATGCGTGCCAACTGAAATTCCCATATGTTCGAAGAAATATCTGTATACGACTCGCGGACATTTACCAGCCGAAGGAACTTGCGTTGTGGGAGAAGTACACAGTTTGAGCGGACCTGATGAAAAAACCAACTTCGTCCAGTACTCCAATTGCTAGAGTTCCCAGTAGGGTCTGAATTTAGCCTTGTAAGAACTTTAATCCCGACACAATATAGATTTCATTCCTACAACAGGTTTAGAACAGAGAACCTACGTACCTCTATTTTGGTAAAAATGTACCTGACCGACCAGCCGGCTTCTCCCTGCCGCCGCACCTGCAAATATATAAGTCTGACAAGTGTGAATATATTTGATTAATTGAAAATAACATCGTCTTACCAAAGATGGGGGTAAAACCGTCGATAACCGAACGCCGTCTGTGATTTGCAGGCCGCGTACTATCGAAAACAATGCTTCACTGCAACCTTCAGCCACAACCCTCCAATCCAGGGCAACCTTGCGAAAGTAATCAACTACAACAGCTCCAGTACAACCATGCGTGGTCAGCTCATCCCAGGATTCAACTGTAAAATATTATTCTGAGAGGATTTAATATTTTAGATTATCAACAAAAACACTGAATACCCACCAGTTTTGGTGAAATTGGTGGTGCTCCACCACCATGGTGATTATTTTGACAAAAAATCTAAAAAAATCACACACAAATGATTTTAGAAGATTTTTCAACAAAACATTCACACTATTTGACATTTATCGCTATCAAATTGAACACCTTTGTCAGGCCACCAATTATTCAATTAATCAAAGCATACCTAAACTTGGTACAAATGTACCTCACTGCGACCTACAGCCACGATCCTTCAATCCAGAGCAGCCATGCGAGGTAATCATCTACAACAGCTCCAGTACAGCCATGCGTGATTAGCTCCTCCCAGGTCTAAGCTGTAAAATATTATGAGGAATACCCACTGAATCACACACAAATGATACCAGAGGGCAAACTGTCGGTAGTACTGCAAATATAGACAACGGCCGGGTTGGATTGGGTCGGGCAGTTAAAGAGAGACACTGTTAGTGTCTATTATCACAATTTCGACAAAGGAATACCCACTGAAATCACATACAAATGATACCAGAGGGCAAACTGTCGGTAGTACTGCAAATATAGACAACGGCCGGGTTGGATTGGGTCGGGCAGTTAAAGAGAGACACTGTTAGTGTCTATTATCACAATTTCGACAAAGGAATACCCACTGAAATCACATACAAATGATACCAGAGGGAAACCTGTCGGTAGTATTGCAAATATAGAAAAGGGCCAGGTTGGATTGGGTCGGGCAGTTAAAGAGAGACACTGTTAGTGTCTATTATCACAATTTCGACAAAGGAATACCCACTGAAATCACATACAAATGATACCAGAGGGAAACCTGTCGGTAGTATTGCAAATATAGAAAAGGGCCAGGTTGGATTGGGTCGGGCAGTTAAAGAGAGACACTGTTAGTGTCTATTATCACAATTTCGACAAAGGAATACCCACTGAAATCACATACAAATGATACCAGAGGGCAAACCTGTCGGTAGTATTGCGAACATAGACAACGGCGAGGTTGGATTGGGTGGGGCAGTTAAAGAGAGACACTGTTAGTGTCTATTATCACAATTTCGACAAAGGAATACCCACTGAATCACACACAAATGATACCAGAGGGAAACCTGTCGGTAGTATTGCAAATATAGACAAGGGCCAGGTTGGATTGGGTGGGGCAGTTAAAGAGAAACACTGTTAGTGTCTATTATCACAATTTCGACAAAGGAAAACCCACTGAATCACACACAAATGATACCAGAGGGCAAACCTGCTGGAAGTATTGCAAATATAGACAAGGGCCGGGTGGGATTGGGTGGGGCAGTTAAAGAGAAACAATGTTAGTGTCTATTATCACAATCTCAACCGAAGAATACCCACTGAATCACACCTGCCGATCATCATCTTCATTAATCTTCATCATCAAACTGCCGTCTTGATTCAATTTTGTAGCAAATCATTATTTCAACCAGTAGCCATAATCCTCTAATCCAATGTAGCCATGTGAGGTCTAGTACATCCACACTAGGTCAGTTCCTTCAAGTATCCATCTGTAAAATATTATTGATTTGTGTTGAAATCAAAATTTTATAAAATATTA